CAAACTTGTGATCTTCCTGCCTTAGCCTCCCAAGTTGCTGGGATGATAGTTGCTAGGATGATTGCACCACCACAGTGAGTTCAATTTTAATAGATGTTGCAAATATATATTAACATGGTTGTACTGATTTATACACTTTACTAGCAATGTATGAAAGTTCAGCTTTTCTACATCTTTACCAACATTGATATTCATCTTAGTAATTTTAGCCACTTTGGGTTACTAGTTGTAATTTGAGAATAAGATCAGGCTTGGCGTGGCGATGCACTCAGTAATCCTAGCTACTCAGTAGGCTGAGGCAGAAGGATCACAAGTTTGAGGCCAGTCTCAGCAACTTAGTTATATTCTGTTTAAAATTAAAGAGTTGAGGGGCTGGGGCTGGGGTTGAGGCTCAGTGGTAGAGCACTTGCCTAACATGTGAGGTACTGGATTTGATTCTCAGCACCACGTATAAATAAATGAATAAAATAAAGGTCCATCAACATCTTAAAAAAAATAAAAATAAAAAATAAGGGGCTGGGAATGTAGGTCAGAGTATTTGCCTGTCATATATGCAAGGCCTTGAATTTGCCTTGTACCTCGAGAAAATAATAATAATAATTAATCACTTGCTTCTTAACAGCAAACTCATGTTAGTTTATTTTGCTGACATTTTGCCTAATTTTTCTTTAATAAAAGCATTTGTGATTATTATACTGTTAAAAGTAGAATCATCAATGAAAACCCAGATTCTGAGTACCATTCAAGGAGTGAATTTCCATGATGGGGATTGTGATATTGCATTTTGTTTGGCTTGTACGGGGGGAGAAGGAAAAAGGAATAGTCAGAGGTGAATTAAGCTAAATTCAGCTTTAAAGCTGCTGAAAAGATAGTCTATTTAGTTCCTGAAAATACTACTTTTAGTCTGTAGGCAAAGATTGATGCAACAGGTGAGTTTGTTTTGTTTTGTTTTTCAGTGAGGTACTCGCAGAGGAGTCCATTGTATGTCTCCAGAAAGCCCTAAATCACCTTCGGGAAATATGGGAATTGATCGGGATTCCAGAGGACCAGAGGTTACAAAGAACTGAGGTTGTAAAGAAGCATATCAAGGTGAGTTGAGTAATACTGGTGTCAGGCATAAGGATGCTGGTGTCTCATCTGAGAAATATGATCACCTACACTAGGATATTATAAGCTTTTCCTGTTTTGTTTTAGGCTTTTCCTGTTTTTGTTTGTTTGTTAAGCCTTTTCTTGATATTTTGTATTATGAACATTTTGGTGTTGGGGTTTTCTTCTGTAAACTTATATGGATTATTTTCTCTTTTATAGGATCTTCTGGATATGATGATTGCTGAAGAAGAGAGCCTGAAGGAAAGGCTTATCAAAAGCATATCCATCTGCCAAAAAGAGTTGAACACCCTGTGCAGTGAGTTACATGTTGAGCCATTTCAGGTACATGGCAGTTTGGAGGTATCCAGCTTGGGTTTGAGATTTAGGAAGAAGCAATGACTTTGGAGTACAGACAGAAGACTTCCTTATAGGGTTTTTACTGGAAAAATGGGGAGAGCATGGTACTTGGCCAGTTAGTTCTGTAAAGTGATTTTTTTTATTTATGTAGAGAACATAAATAAAAAAGAAATGGAACAACTAATAGGTGATCAGAACTAAGCTTCTTGGGGCTAGGGCTGTAACTCAGTGGCAAAGCCTTGCCTTTCCCTTGTGAGGCACTGAGTTCAATCCTCAGCGCGCGCGCGCTCTCTCTCTCTCTCTCTCATATATATATATATTTGTTCATCTACAACTAAAAAAATATACAAAAATTTAAAAAAAGAAGGCTGGGGTTGTGGCTCAGCGGTAGAGCGCTCGCCTAGCACGTGCGAGGCCCCGGGTTCGATCCTCAGCACCACATAAAAATAAAAGAAAATTTAAAAAAAAGAAAATCACCAATCCTCAACATACAAAATTATTTTTAAAAAAATAATAAATAAATTAAAATTAAAAAAGAAAGAAGATTCTTGCTGTAGTTCTGCTTTGTAGAGCATATTAATTTTTTTAAAAATTGACTTGGAGAAAAAGGTAGGCACAGATAATATTATGCTATTCTTTCTCTGAGAGAAAATGAAAAGAGGTACCTAGGAAGCAAAAGTAACTAGTGATAAAAGGAAAAGTTACCCCAAAATTCAACCTTTGTGGTTCTTTTCCTACTCCAAAGTTGTATGCCACTGAATCAGCCAGAGGGCTCCCTCAGAAGAAATGTCTCAAAAGCCAGGAGAACATATCTAGCTCAGCAGGCCATGATTATCAGTGTAGGTAGCTGAGAGATAACTGTATGTGGTCCAACATAAGTCAGGGATTTGAGTGAGGATATCAGGAGACAGGGTGCTGAAACAGCTCTGCTTAGAACTAGTGAAAACAGTGTTAGAATTGTGAAAGAACAGATGGAGCTTGGCTAGGTAAAGATGTACTAATAAGGTTCTCTGGTCCCTCTTGCTGTTACAGGAAGAACTGCCTGTGTGTTTAGTCTGTTTTTTGAACTTTTAATGTGAAATTGGGTGAAAAGTTAGGTATATAGTGGCATTCTCCCTGAAATTATATGACAGTTCCTATTTTGCTAATGTTAAATGAAGTTGTGTAAGTTTATAGAACATATAACTCCCCCTTCTCCTTTTGTCAGTTAAGAGTAACGCAGGGACCACTAAATTTATTTTTATTGGTAAGGTGATATTCATGAGATTATTAAGGTTTTGTTTTGTTTTGTTTTTGAGGTAGGTGCTGGGGATTGAATCCAGGAGTGCTTTACCACTGAGCTACATTCCCAGTACTTCTTATTTTAACACATGGTCTCAATAAGTTGCTGAGGCTGGCCTTGTACTTGCGATTCCCATTTCTTAGCCTCCTGAGTAGCAGTGATATAGGCACCATGCTCATTGAAGCTAGATATAGATACCTTCTTGCTAACTCAAAGCCAACTTTTCAACCAATATATGTTTCTTGCAAAAGTGCTATGGTATCTAAAGAAGTCAAATTCATAGAGACACAAAGTATAATGGTGGTTGTGATGAGCTGGGGGTAGAGGCAGAGAATGAAGACTTTTTATTAAATACAGTTTCAGTTTTACAAGATTAAGTAACTTCTGGAAGTGGATGAAGGTGATGGTTATAGAACAGTATGAGTGTACAGATGCTCCTCAACTTAAAATAGGGTTACACGCAATAAATCTATTATAAGTAAAAAATGCATGCTATCAGACTAAACCTGCTGAATAAAGTTTAGCCTAGTTTACCTTACACTTGTGCTCAGAACACTTACATAGCCTGGAGTTGGGCAAAATAATCTAACATAGCCAGGCGTGGTGGCGCAACCTATAATCCCAGTTACTGAGGTTGGAGGATCCAAATTGAAGGCCAACCTCAGCAATTTAGTGAGACACTATCTCAAAATCAAAAGGGATAGAGAAGTGTAGTTCATTGGTTAAAGCACCAGAGGGTAGGGGGAATTAAGCCTGGTAATCCTAGCACCTTTAATCCCAGCGGTTTGGCAGGCTGAGGCAGGAGGATCTCAAGTTCAAAGCCAGCCTCAGCAACTTAGTGAGACCATGTCTGAAAATAAAAAAGGGCAAGGGATGTGGCTCAATGACTGAATGTCTTTGGGTTCAATCCCTAGTACCCCCTGCCAAAAAAAAAAAAAGAGAGAGAGACAGAAACTGTTAAGTTGGTGACTATCTGTACTTAATCCAAAAAAATTTTGTAAAACATTTTTTTAGTTGTCAATTGACCTTTATTTTTATAAAAAGTGACCTGGTATCTATTAACCTTTCCTCATTTGGGACCTTCCTTAGGAGTTCTTCTTTGTGCCATATTCTATTGGTTATGAGTTGATTTATTTGTAAATTTAACTGAAAGTCTATCAATTCTCTTCCACTGTCCTTCTCAAGTGATTCCTGTGAAAGAATTACTTGAAACCTTGTAACATTGGTATACTGTCTTATACAGGAAGAAGGAGAAACAACTATCTTGCAACTAGAAAAAGATTTGCGCACTCAGGTAGAATTGATGCGAAAACAGAAAAAGGAGAGAAAACAGGAACTGAAGCTACTTCAAGAACAAGATCAAGAATTGTGTGAAATTCTTTGCATGCCCCACTATGACATTGATAATACTTCTGTTCCCACTTTAGAAGAACTGAACCAGTTCAGACAACATGTGGCAACACTGAGGGAAACAAAGGTACACTACCTGCATTTATACTTCCCAAAAGTCCTTCTGGCCTTCCTATAGGTTACTTTAATTATTATTTTTTTTAATAGGCATCTAGGCGTGAAGAGTTTGTCAACATAAAGAGACAGATCATACTGTGTATGGAAGAATTAGATCACACACCGGACACAAGCTTTGAAAGAGATGTGGTGTGTGAAGATGAAGATGCCTTTTGTTTGTCTTTGGAGAATATTGCAACACTACAAAAGTTGCTGCGGCAGGTAATATCTTCTCAAATTAAGACCCTGGATCTCAATAGTGTGTAGCATCTTGAAAAAACTGGCAGCTTTTCCTTCTGTCTTAAATAAGTGCCAATGTACATTAAGAGAGTAGGGGAGAATAAAAATAGTAACTTAGGATATATGATCTCGGTTTTATTTTTTTGGTACTAAGGATTGAACCCTGAGGGTCTCAAAAATGCTAGGCAAGTGCTCTACCACTGGGCTCTACCCCAAGCCCTGATTTTTTTCTTTTTTAAAAAAATATAAACCTTGGGGCTGGGGTTGTAGCTCAGTGGTAGAACGCTTGCCTCACACATGTGATGCCCTGGGTTCGATCTTCAGCACCACTTAAAAATAAATAAATAAAGATATTGTGTCCATCTACAACTAAAAAAGAATTAAAAAAAAACACCTTAATTTATGAGTAAATAAGAGATAAAATATTCTAAGAATATGAAATTACAATCAGATGAAATGACATCCATTTGATATACATAGTTGTTTTTTAAATAACTATTTTTATATTTATTTATTTATTCATTCATTTATTTTGATGATATGGGGGACTGAACTCAGGGCTTCAAGCTTGATAGGTGAGCGCTGTACCACTGAGCTATAATCCCCAGCCCCAAGCATACTGTTTGATTGAAAAAAACTTTCAATTCAACATTGGAATCCTGTTCTTGAGGTCTGAGATCCTCCCATAGTGACAGCTTTACATCTTATGTTCAGAATGCATCAAAAAATTTCTCTTGGGAAGCCAGGCACAGTGGTGCACACCTATAATTCCAGCAGCTCAGGAGGCTGAGGTAGGAAATTGCGAGTTCAAAGCCAACTTCAGCAAAAGCCAGGTACTAAGCAGCTCAGTGAGACCCTGTCTCTAAATAAAATACAAAATAGGGCTGGGGATGTGGCTCAGTGGCTGAGTGCCCCTGAGTTCAATCCCAGGTACCAAAAAAAAAAAAAAATGGGAATCACAGTATAAATGCTTCTTCTTCATTTGGGTCCAGACATTCCTTGCTACAGAGGACTAGCCTTTTGTGTGTTACTATTTTGCTTTAACCACAGCCTTTCCTTGATACAGCTGGAAATGCAAAAATCACAAAATGAAGCAGTGTGTGAGGGACTTCGTGCTCAAATCCGGGAACTCTGGGACAGGTTGCAGATACCTGAAGAAGAGAGAGAAGCTGTGGCAATGGTTATGACTGGGTCAAAAGCCAAGGTCAGGAAAGCGGTAAGAAACTGAATGGGTGCTGGGTAAGCAGTCTTCTGTGAGTCTTCCTGAGTCTAGTCCAACATCCTTACCTATTTCTCCCTTGGGCCTACCTACTCTTAAAAGTGTCAGAAAAGGGGGAAATGGCCTGCTTATCTTCTATCTTCTGTATTCTGGCTCCTATAATATGATTGTTACAGAGTATTATGTGTTATAATTTTATTTTAAAAGGCAAAATACCAAGCACCGAGGGTACGTCTATAATCCTAGTGACTTAGGAGGTTGAGGCAGGAGGATCACAAGTTTGAGGCCAGCTTCTGCAACTTAGTGAGACCTGTCTCAAAAAATAAGAAGGGCTGGGAATGTAACAGTGGTAAAGCATATCTGGGTTCAATCCCCAGTACCCTAAAGGAAACAAAAACAACTAAAAAGGGGGAACTTTTAATCTAAGTGAATATGAAAGTATGGTGAATACCTTTAATATGTCTTTTTCTTTCAGCTGCAATTAGAAGTGGATCGGCTCGAAGAACTGAAAATGCAAAACATGAAGAAAGTGATTGAGGCAATTCGAGTAGAGCTGGCTCAGTATTGGGACCAGTGTTTTTATAGCCAGGAGCAGAGACGAGCTTTTGCCCCTTACTATGCTGGTTAGTACAGCAGTGAATTTCATGTGGTCTACTCACTGCTCTTTTATAAACCCAGACACTCACCGGGAAGCCTCTATTTCCTTATCTGAATAGATACAGCCAATTCTTAACTATATTATCTCACATAATCTTCATGTCGGGAGATGAGGACAGTAAGGGACATAAATGTTGATCAGCTTAACTCAGGCATATAGCAGGTAAATGCATTAGCCTATTTGAGCCTAGAGGAGTCTGACTCCTAGAGCCCAGTGGAATTCCAGGCTGAACTGAACATAAAATTAAGCTGTTCTAACTAAATTCAGCAAGTTTTTAAACAGTTTTGTGACCTGATCCTCTATTGTCTGGATAAGGCAGAGAGAAGAATACAAAAGAAACTAAGACAAAGCAAAAGATAACACAGATTTTGGAGAATACCCTTGGAGACTACTCTTTGTCCATACCCTAGGTACTTAGTCCCCTCAGGCTAATTATGACAAACATATTATTTTATTGATGGTTTATTTTTTCAGTACTGGGGATTGAACCCAGAGGGGCTTTAACACTGAGCTACATCCCATCCCTTTTAAAATTTGTTTTGAGACCAAGGTCTCACTAAGTTGCCTAAGCTGACCTCAAACTTAATATTCTTCTACCTCAGGCTCCTGGGTTGCTGGGATTATAGGCACGCACCACCATGCCCAGCTTTTTATTTTTTTCTCTTCCGTTGTGCATGGAATGAAACCCAGGGCCTCATGCATGCCAGGTAAATGCCTAGCACTACACCCCCAGTCCTGGCTTTTATTTTTTATTAGCCACTTACTCCTATATTATAAAATATATATATATATATATATATATATATATATATATATATATATATATATATATACACACACACACACACACACACACACATCTATTTCCATTTTAGGGAAGTTGTGGATAGTAAATTGGGATATTAGACTAATTTTTTAAAAAAATGTTTAGTTGAAGATGAATATAATACCTTTATTTATTTTTATGTGGTGCTGAGGATCAAACCCAGTGTTTTAGGCAAGGACTTCACCACTGAGCTACAACCCCAGTCCTGAGTAATTTTAATTTTTAACTACTGGGTCTTTATGTTGCAGAGGACTACACAGAAAATCTGCTCCAACTACATGATGCTGAGATTGTGCGGTTAAGAAACTACTATGAAGTTCATAAAGAACTCTTTGAAGGTGTCCAGAAATGGGAAGAGAGCTGGAAGCTTTTCTTAGAATTTGAGGTATGCCCTATTTGTCTGCTTTTTTTTTTTTTTTTTTTTTTTTAATATTTATTTTTAGGTGTAGATGGACACAACACAATGCCTTTATTTTTTTATGTGGTGCTGAGGATTGAATTCGGGTCCCGCCCATGCTAGGCGAGCGCTCTACTGCTGAGCCACCATCCCAGCCCCTGTTTTAATTTGGTACTAGGGATTGAACTCAGGAGTGGGCATTCGACCACTGAGCCACATCTCTAGCCATTTTTGTATTTTATTTAGAGACAGGGTCTTGCTGCATTGCTTAGCACCTCACTGTTGCTGAGGTTGGCTTTGAACTTTCAATCCTGCTGCCTCTGCCTCCCAAGCTTCTGGGATTACAGGCATGTGCCATGGTGTCTGGCTACTTGTCTGCTTTCTTAAGAGTGAAATGAAGGGTTGAGAAAACATGCCCTGCATTGGAGATATGGCTCAGTGAGCGAATGCTTGCCTAGCATAGATATGACTCTGGGTTCAATCCCCAGCTTTGGGGGAAAAATAGCAAGCAAGGCCAGTTACCAGGTTTCTAATGTCCTATAAATTAATGGCTTAAAGAAGATAGAAGTTTCTTGCTTGAAGGAAGCCCAGATGTGGATAGAGCAGGCTTCTCCAGCTCTGGGCTCCCCACCACTAAGTGGGGACCTCGTCCTCAGGGCCAAGCTGGTTGCTAGAGCTCCCACCTGAAGGGCCACATTTCGGGCAGCATGGTAGAGAAAGAACAAAGGTGGCATTGCCCTCTTGACCCTGAATTAAGGGCTCCTCCCAGTCTCTCTTCACAGCACTTGTGTTTATGTGCCATACCAGTGGCTGGTAAGTCTGAGTAACGCTGTCCCAGGCAAATTCTGGTTCTGTTACTAAGGAAGTCAACTAACTTCTCTACTATTGCTACTTTTGCTGTTTTCCTAGAAAACTAGATATCAGGATGAATTTGTATTCTCTGAATTCCTTCTCACAGATAGCACAAACAGCATTTTAGAATTCAGGGCTGGGATTGGGGTGAGAGAAATGAAGCACCAACAGCACAAAATTTAAGGAGAAAATTGTTATTAGGTTCATGCTGACTCTATTAGCATTCATAAGGGTCTGTAGACTTTTAAGCTGAACTCTTTCAAGTTTCAAGTTTATAGGCAGGAAGCTAGGACTCAGATGGAGAGAACCTGGCAAGACCTTACAGCCGTTTACGATCAACTAGTCCTTAGATGCTTCTTGCTTCTGGGTGAAAACCAGGAGGAGGGGGAGTGAATATGAACATAGCTAAAGCAGCAGCCTTGTGTAACTCACCACACATGAGAAAAATAAAGGAGTTACTTATGCCATGCTATTGTTGTTAATAAGTTATGACCTGTCAAGCACTCTTGAAGAGAAATAGTTTGGTCTACATATTATCAAGAATGCTTCTAGTTACCTGCACCATTCTTTTAAGTAATTCCCCTGATTTAAAATTTTATTTTTTATTTTTTATTTTTAAATATTTATTTTTTAGTTGTAGTTGGACACAATACCTTTATTTTATTTATTTATTTTTATGTGGTGCTGAGGATCTAACCCAAGGCCTCACACGTGCTAGGCCAGCACTCTACCACTGAGCCACAACCCCAGCCCCTAAAAATTTTAATTTATTTTTTGGTACCGGGGATTGAACTCGGGATTGAACCAGTGAGCCACATCCCCAGCCCTACTTTTATTTAGAGACAGAATCTCACTGAGTTGCTTAGTGCCTCAGTTTTGCTGAGGCTGGCTTTGAACTAGTGATCCTCCTGCCTAAGCCTCCCGAGCTGCTGGGATTACAGGCTTGCACCACTGCCCAGCAGTAATTCCCCCAGTTTATAATGCCTAGTTATATACTCAAAATTATTGTGTATACATTATAAAATAACAAAAGCCAGACATTTAAGAAAAATGAGAAACGTTTTTTTTTTTTTTTTTAAACTCGGGGGCAGTCAACCACTGAGGAAATCCCCAGTCCAACTTTGTATTTTATTAGAGACAGGATCTCATTGAGTTGCTTAGTGCCTTGCCATTGCAGAGGTTGGCTTTGGACTTGGGATCCTCCTGTCTCAGCCTCCTGAGCTGCTGGGATTACAGGCAAGAAAAGCTTTTTTGTGGGGAGGGCAGTGTTGGAATGTGAACCCAGAGCTTCTCATTTCACACTTATTTACTGAGGCCAAGGATTGAACCCAGGACCTCACGCACTGCCATTGAACTACACCCCAGCCCTCTAAATTTTTGTTTATCTTGTGAAGGTTAATTTAGTGAAACCCAGATTATCTGCAAATTTCCTGGCCACGTGCATTTAAGCTGCATTCTGTGCCAGTATGCTAGAAATACAAGCGCAAGCAGAGGTATCACAACAAGCCCTGAGTTTAGGCCTGCCCATCCCTCCTCACCTTGTATATTAAAATAACATCATCTGACATCCAAACCAAGGAAGGGAACTAGTGGCATTTCTTGCCCACATCTTGCATGGGCTAGCGAATGGGTTTCCCTTGGGTGGGATGGGCTGGCTGAAAAATAAAAGCTAGAATAGCGAAATGACCACAGAACACAGAAAGTAGTTTCAATGAGGGGGTAGACACAGACAAAGCTAACTAGATGGGTCCAGCTTCTAACAAAGAAAGGAGCCCACATTTGCTTTATTTATATTGGAAAACATCAAAGGCTTTCGATAGAAAGTTCTTCACCAAAACAGGATAGAGGTGGGGGCAAGAAGGCTGATCAGTTCCTAGCGGGTTATGCCCATAGGTGCTGCGAGGGACCTTTCTGGTAGAGAAGGGGAGTTCACTCGCTTCAGGTGATCTATTCCCGTGAGTCTGCCATGGGAAGCTCCCAGTGCCAGATCTACCCCCTCATCGGTTGCAATGCTAAAAAAAAAAAAGGTCCTCATCATTTCCGGATGGCTTCCTATAGTCATTGTTATATTTATCTGTTATTTTTTAGATTGAAGGAAGCTTGTAGTTTTCCTACCCCCCAGTGGATGATCTTGCATATGCCCAGGAGTGCCCATGGCTTAAAATGCCACCATTTCTAATGGCTAAATGTGGACAAGAA